GGGGGAATTGTGCATTATAAATGATTTAAAAACTTTTTTTTTATATATTACAATACAATGCCACAAAAAAATAAAATAAAACATTGGACTCTCATTATTATTATAACGAGCTTTAGATATTTTAAATTCGTTATGACTAATGACGTCAGCCGGCTAAAAAATTGGATAATAAAAATCACTCAAAAAGTTTGACATTATAAATATTATTTTTACCAAATCTATATAAATAAATTCACAGCGTATGAAAACAACCTTTCGGATGGCACTTGCATAGCAAGATTTTTTTTAACTACACCAAACAAGTGGTACATGTTTTATTATTGTTGTTTTTCCAAAATACTTGCATGTCCAACTAACATTATTTCTTACATGTCGAACAGATCTTTTTTGAATAATTGTATTATTATTTGAATTAGTTGAAATTGAACTTAAACGGGAATGTAAACTAACATCATCCAAAACATCAGATGAAATAGATTCAATAGCTAGCTGTATTAGAAACCTCTATATCATTTAAAACATTATCATTATTTATCCATTCAAAATCCCATTCATGATCAAATGGTTCACCACAACTATTATTTCACTGTTATTACTATTGCTGTTATAATAATATTATATATCTTAATTCACCGCCATTATTGTTTTACTATTACTATTATTGTCTTTTATTCTGCTACGAGTATTGTGGTTTTTGGGAAGGGGGGCAAATGAATAGTAGATTTTTTTCTTTTAGTCATTCTAAGTAATGTTAAAAATTCCTTAGCCAGCTGATATCACTAATATAATGTAATATATAATCACAAGTTTTCAAGGCTCTATCTAGACTGCAACTTATTAATATCAAATAAATCGCGTGAATTTTTTGGAGTGGGCGTTTTGGATAAATTTATTGTCATTTATAGAAACTTTGCGCCCACAAACATGTTTAGAAATTCACTCGCGCCTTCGACCTTTTAACACAAACAGTAAATCCGCACCTTTGACCTTTTTTGTATTACTTACAAGAATTCATATCTTAATGACAACAGAAAACTTGCACATTCGATCTTACTTTGTTGTTACTCGCTAACCTATATTACTTTATTCATAAATCAGGTGTAATTTTTTTTTTAATTTCAATT